CCTACGTGCATTGCCCTACCAGTCCGGCGTGGTCCGCTCTATGCGTATCCGTATCTGGATACACGACAGGTCTTTCTGGTCGCGCGCGCGTACGCGCGAATAGTAAATAATCAATAGTTATCAAAGCAATTTATTTGAGTAAATACTAATTAGAAGGAGAAAAACATTTACAACTTCTCTTTCACACGATCAATAGCATTCAACACGTTTTTAATATTTGGATGTGTTGGAGGAAGGGATTTTCGAAGGATACCAAGTGCTTTTTCTAGAAGTGGAAGTGCTTTTGAGTACTCTTCCATTTCTTCATATAAATGACCGATATTGTTGTAGGAACTAGCCAAATCGGGATGAGTCGGAGGCAGAGCTTTTTCTCTTATTTTGAGTGATTTTTCGTAATATTCCAGTGCTTTCGAGTATTCACCCATATCGTTATACACTCCACCAATGTTATTATAAGTAAACGCTAATGAAGCATCATCTTCTGGATGCATTTTCCGGTCGATTTCGAGTGCTTTTTTGTAGAAAGTAACTGCTTGTTGGTATTCACCTTGAGCGTCTTTCAACCATCCAAGTTGGTGATAGATATGTGCCCTCTCAATATCATCCGAAGCATTGTCGAGTAATTCATTGTAGAGTTCCTCAGCTTGATAGAAATGACCCACTTTGAACATTAATTTGCCCATTCGATGCCATCCTCTACCGTCGATCTCCTCTTTGATGCAATCAGTAAGACCAGCCAGTTGTGGATCACTCTCATCAGTAATAGTCAAGTGTACTTCCCAAAGACGACTATTATCAGCCGTCTGTTTAATTTCACCAACACGAAACACAGTGTGGATTGTAAATAATATTTCTTGTTCTTGTGGGAGAGCACTGTGTTCATCAATCATTGCAAATGGTGTGATTGAAGTTGATATTTTACTTGGATCTACTGTCATAATAAATATAACACTCATCCTATCTGGATTTCTCTCCAGGACCTGTGGAACAAATAATGTGGCCACTTCTCTTTCCATTAGATGAATTCAATTATTATATCGTTTTGATAGAAGAATCCATCCCTTGTTTTTCTTCTCATGTCGTCGTAATGATCATTTATGAAGTACAGCAAAACATAGTGAAGGTACTCACTCTGATGAATTTCTGTAAAATACTTAGAAATCTATTATTTTGTTCGACATCTTTGTACTGACTACGTTCAGTTTATTTAATTAAAAAACTCATGATTGAACAGTGTGAGCACTGTTAACAAGGAGTTAAGGGAAAACATGGATACCATTATAGAGATTCATGGAATCATATATTGAATGAAAAATGTAATTTTTTCAATAGATCATTTGAGTTCTTACACGTAATTTGGGGTGTCAATTTACAGTTAATTTTAAATTAAATTAAATTCTATCGAGTTAAATTTAATAAATTGTTTGGATGGATACTAATCATTGCTATGAGAAAAATACGCGACTTTAACAGTAGTAAATACTAAATGAGAGGAGCACCAAGTATTTTAGGGTAATATTTGTTCAAAGCAGTCAAAATTTTCCTACCGATTATGCAGGATCCGTCATCTTTCGTCTTCAAAATACCGGAATATTCATAAAAATATATTTGATAGCACAATTCGTAAAAGCATGACTAACTTTAACTTTAGAAAACAAGAAACATACTCAAATTCGACGTTAAATAAGGCTATTATTTAAGCGACCAGTAGAATAAATGCAATGACCAGTAATTAAGATAACTCGATTTATTGATATATTTAAAAGATCAGTAAATTAAATTAAAGGGCCAGTATAAAAA